TTGTCACGTACGCGAATGACTTCGATCCGTTTACTCAGCCGTGCGTGGGTTGGTTACCACACAAAACAGCCAACCAATCATCAGTCACACACCCCCGGTCTCGCAACGCGAGTTCCGTGAGTCTTGTACCTTCCTCAATTGATTGATAAACCTCCTGCTGCTTAGACATCTTCTGCTTGCTGGGATTACGTGTCTCGGAAGCGAGCGTTACATGCTTATTGGTACTACGTATTAGGGGCGACGAAAATGACGAACCCAATGTTGAATACACCTCCTATATTCTGGTCATTCTGCTGAGGAAAAACCCAACCTTATCGAATTGGATAAGATGGAGAAAATCATTTACTAACTACGTGGAATTACTTCCTGTACTGAATCCGACCGTTTGTCTTTCTGAGGCTCACAAAATCACACTATTCAGGCAAGTGCTTGGCGATGAAGGTCAGAGACACTACGATGCCCTACAACTGGAAAATTATGCCACCCTCAGTTCTGCTTTGGATACTTATACCACGTTATGGGGGCTGAAACAAAATGTTTACACTGCTAGATACTGCATTTTTAAAACTTGTCCAAAAGCCGAACGAAGCGTCAATGATTTTATTGCACATATTCACCAATCCATTCCTGATTGTAAGTATAATGATATTCCACCTGGAAAAATTGAAGAGCAAATGAAAATTCAATGTTTGATTGCGGGAATATCGGACGAAACTGCTAGAGAGAAGTTGCTATCCTTGGATGAGTCGGCCACCACGTGGGAAAACGTTTGTCTCATCGTTCGCCAACGTGAGAACATTACACACCAGTTACGCGAGTTCACCGGTCGGCCGGTAGCTGATGATGTGCAGGCGATCCGTAAATCAGACAGCAGTGAAAATCGAAAACAATTTGTGTGTTATCGTTGCGGTTTGCGGCATTCTCACGCTTCCGATTGCCGGCACAAAGAAAGTATCTGTCGGAAATGTGGCAAGATAGGTCATCTAGCACGCGTCTGTAGATCGGAAAGTTCCCGCCCCACGAACATCGCCTCATCAAATCGTCAAAGCAAGATAGAGTTACGGGAAGATAATGTCCTAAAAAATTTGAACAGTGAGCTTAACTCCGTGTACTTGAAGAGTGTGACACACAAAAACTGTCCTCCTTATACAATACGTTTGATGATAGAGGATGAACCGGTAGACATGGAGCTAGATACTGGGGCGGCGGTCACCATTGTAAACCGCGGTTCAATGAAAAAGCTACCACCTTTGCTACCGTGCAACTCGAGATTACAGACGTACACAGGTGATCCAATTCAGGTGTTGGGCAGATGTTTCGTTAAAGCCAGGCACGGGGAGCGAGAATTCACCCTGCCCTTAATCGTTGTACCTGGGAACAAACCGAATCTCATGGGTCGAGACTGGATACAGTTCTTTCCCGAGACCATGCAACTCAACCAACTCACTGTTGAAGACGGCAGTTTGAATGGATTATTGAACGAGTTCTCATCGTTGTTTGAAAATAAACTGGGAAAAATGCGTCATTTCAAGGCTTCCATCAAACTCCGAGAGGGTGCCGAACCAAAATTTTACAAAGCTAGATCATTACCTTATGCAATGCGCCCTAAAGTTGAGGCAGAGATACAACGTCTACAATCAGAAGGAGTCATAGTTCCGGTGCAACATTCGGATTGGGGCACTCCCATTGTACCTGTACTCAAACCTGACGGCTCCGTCCGTATTTGCGGGGACTACAAGTTGACAGTCAACCAAGCGTCGAAAGTGGAAAAATATCCCCTACCACGTATTGAAGACTTGTACGCGACTTTAGCCGGCGGCCAAAAGTTTTCCAAGCTAGATCTCAGTCACGCATACTCTCAGGTCGAACTTGATGATGAGTCACAGGAACTGACCACAATAACTACCCACCTCGGACTATTCCAGTACACGCGTCTCCCGTTTGGAATAAATTCAGCACCCAGCATTTTCCAACGTATAGTGGATAATATAGTTAAAGATATACCGTTCACCTGTGCATACTTGGACGATATCCTTGTTACTGGTCGCAGTGACTCTGATCACCTAAACACATTGCGAACTGTTCTCCTGCGTCTGGAAGAGTGTGGGTTAAAATTAAAAAGTCCAAATGTGAGTTCTTATCCGATTCTGTTTGTTACCTTGGTTACAAACTGGACAAAACCGGTTTGCATGTCCTGCAAGATAAGATAGCGCCTATTGTGCAGGCACCTCAGCCCAAGAATAGCGATGAACTACGATCATTCCTGGGAATGCTGTCCCACTATCGTCGTTTCCTACCTGATGCCTCGACCATTCTTGCTCCATTAAACGAACTGTTACACAAAAACATCCCGTGGATGTGGAAAAGTGAGCATCAATCTGCTTTTACTTGTGCAAAGAAGTGTCTTGCTTCCGCACCTGTTTTGGTCCATTACGATAGTGAAAAACCGTTAATCTTACAATGTGACGCCTCTCCATACGGAGTCGGAGCAGTTCTATGTCACAAAATGTCCAATGGTATCATACACCCGATTGCATTTGCTTCACGAACTTTACAACCAGCCGAAAAGAATTACTCCCAGCTGGATAAAGAAGCCCTGTCAGTTATATTTGGCGTCAAGAGGTTTCATCAGTACATTTGGGGGAACTATTTCGAAATACAAACTGACCACAAACCACTGATATCTTTGCTGAGCGAGTCAAAGGGAATCGAGCAGATGTTTTCACCGAGAATGCAACGCTGGGCATTAATATTAAGTGCATATAAATATCGAATCTCGTATATTCCTGGGTTGAACAATCATACAGCGGATGCATTAAGCAGGTTACCACATGCGACCCCAGACGAAATACTGGAGGAACCAGTAGAGCTTGTAAATCTAATGCAACACCTCGACACCACTCCATTGACAGGTGACACCATACGTCAGTGGACCGATCGTGACCCAACGCTATCTTCTGTAGTGCGATTTACAAAAACCGGCTGGCCTACTACAGTTCCCGTCGATCTTAAACCTTACGCACAACGGAAAAATGAATTGAGCCTTCACGATGGATGCTTGTTTTGGGGATCGCGCCTGATTCCACCGCTAAAGGCACGGCCGTTCATCATAAAGGAACTCCACAACGCACATCCAGGCGTAGCCCGAATGAAAGCCTTGGCGCGCGGTTATTGCTGGTGGCCTGGCCTAGATACAGAGATAGAGAACTATCTAAAAACATGTGGTTTGTGTCAGCAGTATCAGTCAAATAAACCTCCCGGTCCGGTACACAATTGGCGTTGGCCTGAAAAGCCATGGCAGCGCATCCATGCGGATTACTTTGGACCCATTAATGGTGTATTCTTCCTGCTGCTAATTGACGCTCATTCGAAATGGATAGATGTTTATCCCGTTGCCCACCCTACTACAGAGACAACTATCTCCAAAATGCGGTCGTCATTTGCAATATTTGGGATACCGGAGACACTCTGCACAGACAATGGGCCATGTTTCACTAGCAAAGAATTTGAAATCTTCATGAATAGCAATGGTGTCCAGCATGTCCGTACAGCTCCGTATCACCCTGCTTCTAATGGGCTAGCGGAAAGGGCGGTACAGACAATTAAAAGAGGTCTCTCGAAACAAGCACCAGGAACTGTTCAGACGAGGTTAGATCGCTTGCTGTTTGCTTACAGAATAACGCCCTCGGAAGCCACTGGTAAATCACCCGCGGAGATGATGTTTGGCAGAACACTCCGTACCAGACTGGATCTTCTGTTTCCAAATCATAGAGCACAAATGGAGAAGAAACAAGACAAGGCTGCCGCATCGCAAAATAACCACGACTCTAGTTGGCAGCCGGGTGATCCCGTATACACAAGACTTCCCCATGAGCACTGCTGGCAACCCGCAACCGTAATTAAAGGTGACTGTACCCAAGCCGATCTTGAATTAAATGGTCGAATAGTAAGGCGACACTCGGACCATATACGATCACGTTTTGTGGGGACAACAGCAGATGAACGTCTGGGTGAATCAGCAACCGTTCAGCCGGAAACGGAAGCAAAACCCCAGGATTCTTTACAATCGTCAGATGAACCAACGCTTCGCAGATCTCAGCGTACGCATAAACCCGTTGACCGGTTCGTGCCAGGAGTATAAACATTTCAAGAGGTGAGGGGATGTCACGTACGCGAATGACTTCGATCCGTTTACTCAGCCGTGCGTGGATTGGTTACCACACAAAACAGCCAGCCAATCATCAGACACACACCCCCGGTCTCGCAACGCGAGTTCCGTGATTCTTGTACCTTCCTCAATTGATTGATAAACCTCCTGCTGTTTATACGTCTGCTGCTTGCTAGTATTACGTGTCTCGGAAGCGTGCGTTACATGCTTAGTGGTATCATCACACATCCGCTAAAGGTGAGAAACACTTCAACTACTGTGCCGCAATACAAAAAGATAAATGAAAAACCGAGATACTAAACATTATAGAATACAAAATACAGGTAACACGGCTTAGCAAAATATTATGCTCCAAGACAGAGAAAGTGGTTGGATGGGGAAAGTAAGCGGAATGGGAAGGGACGAAGAAACTCATGACCTAAACGCCAGCGGGGTCAGCTCCTTGTCATGTCAACAAGTGTATCTAGCCAAACGTGTTCATCATCTTTCGGTCCCCGGACTGGCACTTGAGAGACACTAACGAACGTTAGGTCCGAAGTGAAGGCCCACACATTGTTCCAAGCCCAAACAATGAACCGAGGGAAGGCCCTGTATCAATAAGGCCCCTGTTGCATTCCAAACACTCAACCATCTATGGGGACGGTGAAATACCAGCCTGTCAGTAAAAGGTAGGGTGCACGACGCTGCGATAAGGCGGACGTTACTATACGGATTAGAGATCTGATATTTGCATTGTGGAGACATTGAACGATTGACCGTGTTTGATCACTGGTGATTACGGAACACTACTCACATCTAGCGGGAACACCGGGTTAGCAATGCTGAGATCCGCCAGTTGGTTCTGGTGATTCGCTCGGGTGTTTGCTTAACTGCAACCACTTAGGTTTGTTAGATCAGGTACTCCGTACACCTGTCGGCCGAATTCTTCAGTGTGCATTGCACGCCATGGCTGCACCAAGTTTGGCGAAACCGCAAAATGTCCAGTCTATGCCTTGGGATAAAGGCATGAAGAAACAAACTGAGAGACGCAATCATGCAGGTGCGTGCCTTCTTCACGGATGAGGAACCTGGGAGAATCCACACCAGTGATATGACGTAGTGAACCGCATAGCGCGAGTTAACACTTCGGGGAATTTCCGTAAGCTTTTCTTCCTGATCCGATCTACTGGCGGCAGAAGGCCAACTGTAAGCGAACTTTCATGCGAAACCAATATCGAGCCAATTCCCTGTCAAAACGCCGACTTGAGCATTTGGCCGAGCATTTTGAGCAGCGACACTGATGAGTTCCCATTTTGGAATCCAGAGTGCTCCCTGGTGTGTAGACGCTTCACCATCTGAGCTGAGGTAACCCAGAAGCGTTGTCCCTTAAAGTGCTATAAAGCCCCTGGCTCAGAGGAACTCCCTCCGGCTCTTTTCAAAGACGAAAGCCCATCACTTGCTCAGGAGTTAACTTCCTTGCTCCAAGAGATTTAGATCGGTGAAGGTATCCAATCTGACGGGGCCTAGCGGATATCATGCTCATTCGTAAAAAGGGTACCTGAACTGACTGCGCCAAACACAAAAGGATTAGTCTTATCCGTTGCTTCCAAGGTGCTCGTCACTCAGGTTTTGAGGAGACAACCTGGTACGCGAACAGAGTATACGTGAAGAACCAGCTGAGTTCCGCTCAGGTCGGAGTTGCATCGATCACATTTTTACACTCCGCCAAATACCCGAGCGTCGTCAAACATTTGGCCGGTCAACGATCGTCGTCTCTTTCGACATACGGGCCGCGTTTGAATCAGTTGACCGAGCTGCTCTCTGGAGTTGTCTAATGAGAAGTATAACATTATCCTTCAGGCCATCTACTCTCAAACCTCGGGCCGAGTGCGAGTGTATGGCGGAATTTCGCCCCTCCTTTGTACTACCAGCGGTATGAGACGGGGTTCCTCAACATCCTTTTTCTTGTTCAATTCCGCTATGGACGAAATCCCGGAGAGTGGTCTGAAGAACTGCGAACCCGGTGGTGTCGAGCTGCTTCCGGGTGACCGAATCAATAAGTTGGAGTATGCAGATGACATCACTAATCTGCGATTCCTCACAGGCTGACCAAAATGCCTTGTGTAGATTGAAGGTGTCTGTCGCCCAATTTAGAATGATCTCGGTACCATCGAAGTGCAAGATCTTCCTCTAGGACTGGCTAGGCGTTGTTCCAGGTCATTCGTTGAAAGTGATAGACTAGTTCGTTTACCTCGGAAGCTAATTCCATATCATGCTTTAACGGATGAGATTTCTTTGCGCGTTCGGATCGCTTTTGCTAACCTCCACGATTGCTGGCGTCGGGGCGATCTACATCTCTCTCTGAAGCACCGAGTTTACAATGCTATGATGACAGCGGTCCTGCTCTGTGGCCGCGAGACGGCATGTTCGCGCAAAAGATGTTGTGAGGCTGTCTGTTTTGGATCACCGCTGCCTTCGGAGCATTGCGCGGGTACGATGGTAGTGTGATGTATCACACAAGTAACGAGAATGTTCGACGGAGGATTTGCAGATTGGTCAGACTTTGCCGGCCACTGAGCAGCATAATTTCACTGCGCTGACTTTATTGCCCTGACGGCACGACCGCCCGATAGGTACCCGACCGGCACCCGAAAAACTCCGGATAAAAAGTTCGGGCTATCGTGAGCGACCGAATTTGGTCACATTTCGGAAAAAGGACAAAGAAAGACATCAACAGTACGCCCGTAGGAAGTACTGACGCTTCGCTGCCGCGCAACCCAGTAGCACGTGGGCTAAATATACTGTCAGTGGCCCGTCCCTACGCAGGCTCAAACCCGGCCATCAGATTGCAAGGCAGGTTTGTGATCCTTAAGGCTACGGGCGCTCAAGTAAATACTGCAGGCGCATTCCCCGATTATGGTGTAACAACTTTCCTGTGTTTTAACGGATTTTGGCGACCACTGCAGGGCCACACCCCCGTCAGCACCACTGGACAGTCAGGAGTCCAGGGCGGGACACTTTTTATTGGTTCATTGGTGTGTAGAGGGCAGCTCCGTCGATACCGATTCAGTGCAGCTTTGACGCAACTGGCTGCGAGGCGGTACTCCTCTGGGGAGTATCGCCGTTGCAGTAAGATCCGCAGAACCCTGCCGTTCTCATCAGATGGCAGGCTAGCAACCGTCGGTAAGCTGTTCCAATCGTTTACTACACGGGTTAATGGGGCAGCATCTGGAAAGACGTGAAGTATCCGGTTCTTGTATAATATCCACTTGTGGTCTCCTGTCTCCATCCACATTGAGCCGAAGTGTTTTTGTACCTCACTCCCAAGTTCTACTCTTAGGATCCGTCGGGTGTAGATACGATCATTAAGGCGCCCATGGGAAATAAGTACAGCTTTTAGAGTCGAAGAGCGGAAACAAGATCTGGAAGCTCCATGACAGATTTCCCGCCATGCCACTGAACCCTATCTAGTAAGTCGCATTCAGGTTTCGCGAGATGATAGTAAATGGAAGTCCATATTCTAATATCGGGCGATGTGATGTGAATAAGGTTCTAAATATCACTGGAGTGACAAGGGATAACAATCTGCAGAAAGCATATAGCACCCTGTTTGCGGATGCGACCTTCTTCAGAGTGTCCTGAGATGTTTTGTCATGTGACACGATGAATCCCTGACCCTTCTCGTGACATAAAAATGGCATCAGCAGTACGACGGTACGCAGTACCGACGCTCCGCTACTGGGCAACCAGCCCCCACGTGGGATCGAACATGTGCCGCGAGATTACAAGACAAGCTCGTTAGCTTTAGGCTACGGGCCGGCATCCTTGAGAAGATACCCGCCAATGTGTTATGCACCGAACGAATCCGGGTTACCAATCGGGAAAATGGCATATCCGTCGCGCTTTACAGGTAGTTACCATTTGGTGGACCAATCGCGCAGCTGGCCAACCATCGTTTAGAATCTGTCAGCGTCCTCAAGGCTATATACTTCTGACCATAGCTTAAGATCATCATAATTTGGCTATCTCGGATTTGATTCGACCTGCTCGAGAGGAAGATAATGCGTCGACAGATAGCCAGTAAGTAAGCAAGGTTCCACGGAGTACATCGATGAGTGTTGGGAGGCTAGCAGGTGAGTCTAATTGTCATCTTCATTCAGCACTGTGTCTTCCTCATGGCAGGATAGAGCAGGAATACGACTATCCGCCTTGGTGTTTCGCTTTAGGTACGAGAACAATTTCTTCGGGCAGGATCCTGGCTCTATAACCGGACTGCGTTCACATTGTGTCCGTTTCTTGTGCTCCTAGAGTGTACAGGTTCCTTGTACTTCAAGTAGCCTGATATTGATTGTGTTGTCTCGAATACGACCCACAATTTGCGTCGTCTGCTAATGATATCACACCTCTCGGTCGATACAAAAAGGACCTTTAGGGAAAGGCCTGCCTCTGGTGGTAGGAAAAACGTTTCCAATGACTGGCATCGTCTTTCAGCGTAGCAAGTGCCATGCCGCGTTAAGGTTCAGGGATTGTAGGATTTTGCAGTTTGCAGTGCTTTTCACTTCTTGTAACTTAAGTGGGACAGCACGCCAGATGTTACGACGTGTCCCCTGGTCTTGGATAGTAAGACGGCATGCCCAAACAAAGGTGACTGTACAGGAATCACTCCGGTCAAGTGGATAGAGAATCTTCAGGCCACAGACACTAGAGAGCGTCGGAGTGAGGATGAGATGAAGAATGTTTGACGTTTGACCCGTAATCATCCGTGTTGGTGGAGACATGCTGGATCTGAAAGCATTCATGAACAGTGTCAAGAATGCCGGTTTCGAAGGAATCTAGGTGGAGATCACAGTGAAGAAGGTTCCATTCTACAATGGGTGCAATGAAGTCACTCATGAGCAGACAGTTCCTGCCTCTACCATTAGTTTTTACCGGTTATGATACAAGGACGCCTGAGCTCAGTGGGGTTCAGAAGGCCACCCTCATTGTTAATCCGACACCACAATATTTCTGAGACTCCGTCGTCACAGACAGCTTTGATAAGGCACACCCTGAGGCAGGACCACGAGTAGAAAATTGCTCCACCCCAGTCTATCTACTGGAACGATAAGCACGTGAGAGTTAATATCTTGATG